CCTGACCTTAAAATGTCGGTTTTCTAGGTATGAAGTGATCCAGTCAATTAAAGGGGGTTTTATACCCAATCGTCCAAGCTTCTTGATAAGACATGCATGGTTGACCCTATCAAAAGCTTTTGAGAAGTCCAGGTAAATGACGTCAACAAGAAGTCTGTTAATTTATTCTCAATACGCAGTTTTGTGGACCCCAACAAATTCTAAACAAGGACAAAAATGTTCAGTAGAGTAATTGGTATCCTAGGCCAAATTACGAAGCAACAAAATAGCCAAATTGTACACTACAATACAGAGGAGGCTAAATAAACGCTTTTTGAATTGATTTTGGGAATTTAATGCAGCAAAATACCACTCAAATACGAGAAAACCTGATATTCGTGCAACCCAAAGGACAACCAACAGACCTTCAACAACTCAAATATGGAATGACTGCCTCTTGTCAGGCCGTTCAAGGTCGTCAAAACGAAACGGCGGGCGGCCTTAAAATTCGCTGACTATTTCAAACGTGCTATCCTAACTTGACTTTCATTTCTCAATGTTCTGCTGTGTCCTTACGTAACAGAAGTACAAATTTTGATCCGAAGAATCTGTCCTAAGCTTAATATTCGGTAGGTTACTTTTTTGAAGCTGTACTCAAGCTAATAGTTGACTGTGGTTTCGCTTCAGTTTTTCACGTTGAGGCTAGTTTTAGTGTATCCTGACCTTTTGTACTACTCGTTTTTGTCCAGTTTGTCCGTCTTGAGCCTACGGTTTTTCGGTTTTCGGTCGTTGACGACCTTTGGTCGGCGCTAGTGACCTTGAGTATCCACCTGATGATGGTTATAAACCAGTGTGAGGAATTAAAATTACGATTTACAGTTGATGGTCAAGGTTGGTAACTAGAATTAGGGTTTTCATCACGAACTGACATCAGTTATAATGCCAAAACGCTATTCAGCCAAATGGATGGGTGAATTTCGCTCCAAATTCAGAGGCCTGTTATCCCATCCCTTGTTGGTTCGTCCGTAAATTTTAGTCTCTCCGGACATGCTGAAGCTCAGCACCATCATATAATCGACAGTACTAGACTGTCTCAGAAAACTTAGGTCTCCTAGTATAGGATCCCTGAACGCAACGGTTATCCCCAAAAACTATGCAGGTATTGGACCCCCGTCAACTAAGTTAGAAAAGACTAAGTGTCACCGTCTAAAAAGCAGGACATCACAGGTATTGTACTGAAATCAACCGGTCATACAGCTGTACAGTCTGTCTTTAAGACTGTCCAACCAATCAGGAAGGAGTACAGGAATCTGAAACGTGCTTCAACTACCAAACAAAACGCTCCTTAACATGAACGTATCCGAAAACCTGGGGAAGCGATCACGGTTAGCGACGATTCTCTCACAGTAATCAATCTTAAGAACAACTCTGACCTTTCCCTCAGTCTTCAGTACAAAAATGACAATGTTCTGGGAAGAGTTAAACAGAAAGCTCGAACTTCCCAAAATGGAGCATCTGACGGTGGGATTAAACTATACTGCCGAGCCAATCAGAAGCTTTCGCGGGTTTTCAAGGTCACGGCGCTAAGTTCGGTACCTGATGCTTACGTACGGTTAGTTTACAGCGGATTTCAGGAAAGATGTGATAATTTAGCGTCTACAATAGAAGTGATCATAAGATTTTGGCGCGAACTTCAATTATCCATTTGGATAAATAGAGTTTTGGCATTATAGCTGATGTCAGTTCGTGATGAAAACCCTAAGTATAATTTCTAGCCTTAATCATGAACTGTAAATCATAATTTGTATTCTTCACACAGGTTTATAACCCTCATTTGGTCCTAGTTATTACGTTGACACTCTCAGAGTCACTCTAGCGTCGCTCAAAGGTTGTCCATAACTTATAGTCTCACCCATAACCCTACACCTAAATCTTAACTCTAACCCTAACTCGTAAACCATACCAATATACTAACATTATTGAAGCTATGTGGTAGGGGCTAAAAGAATTTTTGAGACCTTATCACGGTTTCAGAGGTCGACTACTATGGAGCCATATGGATGTGTTCCTGTACCGTATGCACTAAGATTTTAAAACTTCTGAACCTATATCTGAACTTGAGAAGTTTTTGACCCATGTAAAAGAAGTGTTTCCACTTTAATTCTTTGTTTTTTGTATATATTTTTACTGTATACTAACTGTCTTCTGATTGGCTAATATTTCTCAAGGTCATTTAAAATTCGCTCAAAGGTCGGCAGTATAGTTTAATGCTACCCATCTGACTGTCACACAGCTCACTCGGGGAAAGGACTCTAAGCATCAAAATCACTCAAGACTACCTTGTGTGACGCTCACTAACGCTAGTTACTCACTGAAATCAGATAGGAATATATGAATACTGCCTGATATACCATACTCTGGGCGCAATCTCATCAGGAACATTCCTAAGGAATGTCATGAGACGCTTTTTCGCGAAAGAGATATGTTGCAAGGTGTGTCATAAAACACGAACTCGGACCGCACAAACTCTGATATTCGGGAATAGAAATTCATCAAGGAGTTCTTGAGGCTCAAAAACATTGACTGAACATGTAATGAGACTAGCCAAGAAGTACGGGGATTCTAGACCCCGGCTGATGAAGATAACTTTCGCATCCCCCATATGGCGGCTGCAACTCTCGAAGAATTCCGTGCCGAACAGACTCCGGTAGCCAGATAGAATCCATATGCATCCGGATAGGCCACATAATGTCTGGATCAAGTAAAAAGACAAGTTGGAGCTGACGATTTCAATTATGAACTGTCAAGACCATGGGAAAAAGACGTAGAAAGGACAGCGGATACCATCTCAGGAAACCTTGTGTAAGTAGGTTGCCTGTTCACTCATATAAGGATCATGCAGTAAAGAGCGTGGGGAAGCTCACGTGTTTCAAATTGAAAGCATAGACTGCTTTATGAACGCCGCGAGTTTACTGAATAAAATGGATGGGCTGCTTGAACTCAGTAATGCTAGTGATACTCATCTGATAGGAATATCTGAATGTTGGATATCTTCTCAACTTACGGACCAGGAGCTAGCGATAGCCGGGATGTATTTGTTTCGCAATAACAAAAACAGGAATGGGGGATGGAGTAACCTTCTACCCTTGGGAGTATATCAAGTTCACAACTAAGTGTTTATCAATTTTGATGAATCGGTATGGTGCTTAGTAAGATTGTATATCACCCCGCGAAACATATGTAGATTGGAGGTGGAAACTCTACTGAAGCTTGGTTCCTCAACCCCACTGAAGATCTGGGATTATTCGAAAATGTCAGGTCGGCAACTCGTTGAAGAAACATTAAGACGCCGTGGCGCTTAGACTGTGTATTTACAAACGAAGAATTCCTAATTGACAACTTCTCAATCCTGGCTCCATTGGAGAGAAGCGATCACGCTATCATAGCTTTTAGTTTTATCAGCAAAACTGAGCTAAGACATCCTACCGACAACGAACAATAGAATTTCAAACGGTTGAATTTGTCAGCCTTACAGGACAATCTACAGCAGGTGGACTGTGAAGTTCACCATCAACTTGATTTGGATGCTCATTGGGATTTCTTACTGAACATGATCTTATGTGCTACAAAGCAGTCTGTTCTTTAAACGGTCTCCAAAATCTATATGCAACCTACAGTCATCAAGAATTGTACTCTTCGATTGCTAAGACGCAAAAGGCGCTGTTGGGCGGAATACAAATGAACTGGTAAAAACAGCGCATATATGCAATCGAAACTAATAAGGAACATATGCATAAAGGCAATAAGAGAAGACAGACTTCAGTACCAGACAAAGCTTATCGATGAATTTATCTCCAATCCGAAAAGTTTATTCCGCCATGCAGCCAAAACTGGAGATTTCCACTTGTTAGGTTCGAATGGCCTGACCAGTAACGACGATGATGCCGCTAAACTTTTGGCTAAATGATAGTCTTGGAAATTTCAACCGATCTACATCAACTATATTGATGAAAGCTTCATCTGCAACTGCACAGGACTTTTTGAAGTGAACCTGAGTGCTGACTTGGTGTTCTGGAAACTGCAGCATGTAAAAAAAGACACTTCTCCTGGCCCGGATATAGTTCATTCTGCTATACTGAGGGAAGCAGCTTCAATCCTGGCAACATCACTTAGCGTGATGTTCTCACATTCGCTAAGCCTAGGCACATTACCAGAAACTTGAAAGCTGACTCACATCACACCTTCAAGTTACCTACTGGTGGCTCTTCTCTCTGTACCTTCAAAAATTATCAGTCAGTCAGTCACAACGTAGAACTTAGTACGTTCGTACATCAGTTCGAGTTGCCATACCACATTAGCACAGAAATGCAGTTGTCCATTCAAATCCCATAGTGGTGGATGTAGTAAAGGTATAAGCAGTAATCCGAAAGATTAGGATTTCAAGATCTTATTCAAGGAATATAATCCAGTAAAATAAATTTAGAAAGAGAAAAAAGAAAGGGACACGAAGAATTCAGAAGGTTCGAATTCGGGAAAACAAAGGGTGGATGCACCTTCGCCTTTGCAAACGATTTTGAGCCACATCATTCAAAGTCTCTAAACATCGGTTACTATCATTTCGCGAATACCAACTAGGTAGTCTATGTCTGCCAACATGGCTCAGTCCACCTGCCAGTGACTTCATCTTTTGTGCCACGTTTTGATCTGGCCACCCCTAGCTTTTTTCCAACCTACTCTTACACCATAAAACATTGCACGTCGGGGCAGTCGGTGGTCGGGCATAAGTAACACATGTCCCAGCCATCTCAACTGAAGTTTCACTACTTCATCAATCTATTTACCATCCTTACCTAGTACTCGTTTCCTAGAAACTGCATTACTTACTCGGTGGTCCCAGGATATACGAGTAATGCTTCGAAGACACCTATGATCGAATACTAGTAACCTACGAATATCCTCTACTCTTATCGGCCATGTTTCACTGCCATAAAGTAGGACGGAACGAACTGCTGCACAGTAAACCCGTCCTTTTGTTGCTAGAAGGATATCTCGCCTACGCCATAAATGACTCCATAATTCAAAAATTATGGAGTTCTTGATATGCGATGCTGTACACTATCACTTATTATTCATAAACTTCCCACCCCAATAGCATGGTTTCAGAAAGGGTCACTCTTGTATAGTCAACCTGACGACTGCGATGGACAGACGGACAACCATTCTTGATCTCATATGGAAGGTTGTCATCATTTACCCTGATTTCTCAAAATCTTTTGATAGGGTCAACCATATATGTCTTATCAGTAAATTCAAACGACTGGGTATCAAACCATCTCTAACTGACTGACTCACTTCATACTTAAAAAATAGGCATTTTGAGGTCAGGGTTAACTTCACTTTCTCTCAGGCTATTGAATGTTCTAGTTAGGTTCCTCTGGCTCATTACTAGGACCTCTTTTCTTCTTCATTTACATAAACGATTTCGTCATATTATATTTTGCTGGTGATGTGAAACTTACGAGACACGCAACCAAGATGATATACTGGCACTTGAGGAGGATCTGACTCGACTTCAAAGTTGGCCAGATGACAACGGATTTACCTTTAACTCTTCAAAGTGTAAAGTAGTCCATCTGCGACTTGTTACACTGAAACTACGTCTTAGGTCACTCCCCTCTAGAGGTATTCCAAGTTGATAAAGATCTAGGAGTGTTGGAACTCTGTTTTTTGAAGTCTTATGCTAACTGCGACAAAAGTGCCTTTCGAGCAAACCTTGAATTGGTAACGTTGAAGCGCATTTTCGGCCCGTTCGACGTAAGAACTTTACACATAGTCTTCAATAGTTTTGTTCGTCACTATTTAGAGTGCGGAAACAATATTTCCTTCCTCCAAAAAGATAAGTACACTAGAGCATATCCAACAGCGAGCCACGAAATCAGTTCAGGGACTCGAATTCAAGTCTTATGAAGAGTGCCCCTAATCACCGAACCTTTACTCACTAACGTATAGACGTCTTAGAGGTGACCTAATAACTCACAGCATCCTTAACATTTCTGGGCATTCCCTTAAACACCAACTTAAGCTTAATCCCAACACAAACCCTATAGATAACATCCAAATACTGGAGACAACACAACAGAACTGTAGATGTACCTTCTACCCTTTAAGAGTAGTCAAACGCTGGAATTCGCTGTAGGTTGAGCTAGTCCAAGCGACTTCTCAGGAATTCTTTAAGAGAAAACTTGACATATTCTTCAGGACTAAGGACAATATCTCACTATGATGTACCTTTTCTCTCTTCCCTCTTTTGTTGTTAATATACTTAGGTTCCTACCTGGAGGCATCGGTGATCGTTTGCTGCTAGATACGGAAGCCCGTTACGCGAAAGCTTCTATTCCATCCCGAACCATTTGAACGGTATGAAGACGCGTAGTGCAGAAATGGAAGCCCCAAATATTGCAGCCATTGTGAAGGCCCGACATCATGCTCGTGTATTTGGCCCTCCGAGTGGACATTCATTAGGAAACACACCCAATCAGTCAATTTCTCCTGGAATATATGAATCTTCTGAGAGTGGTTGTAATCTAAACAATTTTTATAGTGCATCTGGAACAAGTGGACCGATACTATGCGATGATGTAAAAATCTCAGTAGACGATAAACCACATAAAAGTCGTTCTGGTTAGTTTTTCAGTGGTTAGTTAGTGCTTGCATTTAGACAATGCTCCGAGATTGTTACGCGGAACTTGGTCAGCTGATGATAGACGTCTATTTTTTCAAGCGGTGAGAATGGTACGTTGATTGGTTTACAGTTTATTTTCTCGTTTTTCCTGTTTCCCATTTTCTGCGTTATTGTTAATTTTTTCGTAACTCTTTATGCTTAATGGTAATATTTCCTATTCGTTTCTTAACATCTTTTAGTACGGGCGTAACTTTAGTGAAATCACACGTTTCATTCGGTCTCGTGGACATCGTACGTCAATCGATCACCAAACTGGGCCATCAAGTGGCAATATTGAACTAAATTTGAATAGTTTGCACCCTGGAAATAATTTTGTCTCCTCAAATAGTCTATCATCTGCCCTCATTCCATCTAATATAAGCGCCCCGTGCCCAAACAACATTTCTCAACCTAATGTTGGAATGAGCACACCCTATACCAGTAGTTCTGATTTAAATACACCTTGTGGCGGTCGGACTCGTGAACAGGTTCGTTTCTTTTATCAACAGACCTGGCATAAAGTACGTCGTTATACTAAATTTCCCGAAGAGGTTCCACAACATGTTAGGGAAGTTTATGCAATTGTCAATTATTCTGTGCTGCGTACACGCATTAAGAAACGTAAGTAACAAATTTGTAGCAATAATATACTTTCATCTCTTTATATCTCTGGTAATGAATAACTTTGGTTTGAATTTAATTAGGGTTATCTTTTCATTTGCGGGTTTTGTTGCTCTAATAAGTAAGGGATATAGCTCCCTACTGTGTCTAAGAGTGCATGGCGACAAGACATTTGTCGATCCGAAAATTGGATAAATCTTAGGGTTATGTCAATAACTTTGAAGACATCGTTGAATCACAATGTCATAAAACCAATGTAAAGGTGAATTTCAAGTTACTACACTAAAAAATTTGCTAGTCAACAAAACGAGTGACACATTATTATATCTAAAAGAAGACATATGAAATCCCCATAAAATAAAAACCATGTTCGATATCTAGGGCAAGATAAGAACTGGATGGGTTTGTACCATTGTCAATGGTTAGGACCATATCACTTAACGGCTCCAACCAAGAATTTATACTAATCGTTTGATCGCGATTATAAAGTTAGTGGTTCTCATTGTAATTTTGCTAAATTACTGTAATCCTTTTTCCAACTTATCTTGTTGCTTTCATCTCGTCTTCCTAATGTGCTATGGTTACTCATGTCAACACACAGCCCTACCAGCCTCTACGTTGATGACTGACTGACTGGCAAATTCAGTAGTTCTACACAAAACTTAGTTGGATTGTTTTTCTTAACAGTCCTAATATTTTTTGTCCTCAAATCCATCTAACAAACAAATTTTAGGTAGTTTGCAACTTCATGTGATCATAATTGCTTTAACTAATTCAGTTCTTGGATGTGTAAATTCAGATTTCAGCTTCCCTCCCATCGTTTTCCCTCATTTTAACGTCTCCATTTGCATATCACTTTACTTACATTTACTAAGTTATTACGCTTTCTCTAAAGAAAGGGAGCCACGTTTACGCGCAATCGCTGTCCTCTTAAAAATCTCACAGATACTCACTCAAGAATTGGGCCTCTGATTCAGAATAACAGAGGCTAAGCTAAGAAAAATGAAGTTATCAGTCGTTTGTCACCAACGGAATTCGCTACTTCTAATTTGTTTGTCATAAGTTCACAGACTTATTAATTAGGTTAGCTACTATATTGATAGTTTATATACACTTACTTACTTACTTACGCCTGTTACCCCTCGTCGAGGAGCATAGGCCGCTCACCAGCATTCTCCATCCAACTCTGTCCTGAGCCTTCCTTTCCAGTTCTTTCCAGTTACTATTCAGCCTTTTCATATCGGCTTCTATTTCCCGGCGTAGTGTGTTCTTTGGCCTTCCTCTTTTCCGCTTCCCTTCCGGATTCCAAGTTAGGGATTGAGTCGTGATGCACATTGGTGATTTCCTTAATGTATGTCCGATCCACTTCCAACGTCTTTTCCTAATTTCCTCTTCAGCTGGAAGCTGGTTTGTCCTCTCCCATAAAACGCTGTTGCTGATAGTATCCGGCCAGTGGATGTTGAGTATTTTGCGTAGACAACTGTTTATAAATACTTGTACCTTCCTGATGATGGCCATAGTAGTTCTCCACGTTTCAGCTCCATACAGTAGGACTGTCTTGACGTTCGTATTGAAGATTCTGACCTTGAAATTAGTTGAGAGCTGTTTTGAGTCCCATATGTTCTTCAATTGTAGAAATGTTGCCCTTGCTTTGCCAATCCTCGCCTTTACATCGGCATCCGATCCTCCTTGTTTATCAACGATGCTCCCCAGGTACTTGAATGTTTCCACCTCTTCCAGAGTTTCGCCGTCAAGTGTGATTGGGTTGGTGTTCTCCGTGTTGCATTTGAGAATCTTGCTTTTTCCTTTGTGAATGTGGAGACCTATCGATGCGGAGGCTGCTGCTACATTTGCTGTCTTCATCTGCATTTGGTCGTGTGTATGACCTAGCCCTCCTCTCTCATACACACGACCAAATGCAGATGAAGACAGCAAATGTAGCAGCAGCCTCCGCATCGATAGGTCTCCACATTCACAAAGGAAAAAGCAAGATTCTCAAATGCAACACGGAGAACACCAACCCAATCACACTTGACGGCGAAACTCTGGAAGAGGTGGAAACATTCAAGTACCTGGGGAGCATCGTTGATAAACAAGGAGGATCGGATGCAGATGTAAAGGCGAGGATTGGCAAAGCAAGGGCGAATCTAATAAACTATTTGATTTTTACAAAATTACAGATTTTTATCTTTAGCCTTTTCAATAATATATATATATATATATATATATATATATATATATATATACTCTGAAAATAATAATTACAGAATTCACGTCAGTTTACAGGCATGATCAACTTGGTATAAATAGTAACATTATATGTAGAGAACAAACATGTGATATTAGATTGTTCTAAGTTTGCTAGTTCAGTGATTGTTTAGGTAGTACATTTATGACATGTATTACAGCAATCCAGTGCATCAGCAGGGAACTTTTAATTTTTTTTTCAGTGGATAGCCTGTTGGTTTATAAACGGCGTTATTTAAGATTATTTCCTGTATCAGAACGAATTATTGATGCATGATATATCACCATTTTGAGTTGTTTTAGCGCGTTTTTTTTGAAAAGGAGAATTAAGTTTTTTACTTTTGAGCTAGTATTAAGTGCTAATAGCTCCTCATTAATGGCTTTTAACTTATGTTTCTCTTTAATTTGGTTAAAAATTATTATTTGTGCAACTGCCGTGAAGTCGTCTGACTTAAAACAACGTTTCTGTAGGCGTCTTAGTTTATTACGATATTTAGCTGGTATATATAATTCGTAAGGTTTACTAAACCTGTATGTTTTAATTGGTGCACAGGAATCTAGACAAGAGTTAACTGTTAAATAGAATTTGTTGATGGTATCCATGAGACTATTACATGAGAAAAATTCATCCCAGTCTGAGAGTTTGATCAGTAAGCACAAGAGGTTACAGTCAGCATGCTTATAGTCTTTATATTGGCAGGTTTTTTGAATTGGTCGGTTATAAGAGGGATAGATAGGGAGAGCACAAGCTACTATCTTATGGTCACGGCTTTCAAATTCGTTGTATACTTGTACAGATAGTGGGATGACATCTCTACTAAATATTAGATCAAGTATATTATCACTCTTTGTTGGCGTACGAACCCACCGTGACCAACAGTGCAGATTAAGGATTGCCGAAAATTCATCATTACTTGACTGACAACTACCGGTACTCCAGTTAATTCCAGGATAATTGAAATCTCCAGTGATAACCTTAGCATTGAAGTTTAGAGCAGATGCATGTATAAATGCATTGATAATAAGGTCATTCACATTATCCGAACTATCAAGAGCTCTGTATATACATCCGAGGAGTAGACTATGATTCAGGGTGTTGATTGATATCCGAACCGATTCTGGCAAACTATTCAAGACATTGTCTTCAACTTTATTAGTTGTTAGGGTACCCAAAGCATATATAGGAAAACCATCTCCTCGCCTAGTTTTTCTGTCACAGCGATAGAGTCGATAGTTCTGGGTATTTAATTATGAATCAGATACTGCATGACAGCACCATGTTTCAGTGATAAGTATGAAAGAATGCTTGGCTAGAAATGCTAAGGTTCTCAAGGCTGAAATTTTGTTCAGAAGTGAACGTGCATTAATAAGTAATAAGTTTAAAAAGGGAGTATGAATTATTAAAAAAATGAGAGCTTTCCTATCAATGGTATGTGTTCTAGATTTGCCTGGACTATGGTTTCATGTGCTTGACTGATCGTATGGGCCATGGCTTGAACAAACTGTAGTGCTAGTGGCACCAGAGATTTCTGAAGGCCAAGGGGAAATTATTATTTAGATTCGTCGAACTCCTGACAAACTAGAAAACAGGTTAGAGTGAAATAAGAAAAGACGAAAAAGAGAAGCTCAACAACAAAAATTAGTCCTACTTATTTAAGAGTTAATTATAATCTTCCAGATGAAACTTTAGATTACCATGAGATCACCCTATTGGATAAAGAATTAACTTTTAGTTTACATAAAAAGACACTCAACGTTATAAAAGTCGCTCCAACTATAAAACCAATACTCGAACAACTACATGAAAAATGGCTCATCTAGGATATCGAAAAAACTTTACATTTCCACAAAAATGCCTTCCTTCAGATGTTTCGAAAGAGTAATTAAGAACTCTACGTTCTTTATGAAAGGACATTTTCATCCATTTGTTTAAATACAAATATTGATGCGAAGAGGTATTATGTTTGGTCGTCGGTAATTGTGATGTCCGAATCGCTTATTACTCATACTTGTAAAACGAGAAACCCTGCAGTTCTCACGAAACGAAGTAAGAATACCAAGACTAGTACAATTGAGGGTTTATTAACGTCAAAACACGACGACCCCAGTCGAAAATACACTCATATATTGATTGTATACCCGTTTTAATCATTCATTAAGATGAGACCACATTTATGAAAAATACCCAGAGTTATAACAAAATACATGCTGCGTGTCTTGCTAAACATATTCAATATTAATTCAATATAACAATATCATTTAATAGTTAAATTCATCAACCGATTAAAGCTAGACTACTATAGAAATTCTGGAAGCACTGGACGACCGTTTCGTCCTAGTATGGGACTCTTCAGCAGCGCGCATCTACAATCCTGAACTTGCGGCTCGAACCCAGGACATTCGGTCTTTCGTGCAAATACCTAACCTCTAGATCACTGAGCCTGGATCCAACGTTGTTAATGTGAATGGGATAGAAAAAATCAGCAGAAATAAGTGAATAAAATTAAGAAAACAATAGGAGGAGCAGTTCTTTTAAAAATAGAGCTAAGAAAAATTTCTCAAGTTGGTGAAGTTTATGTATAAGAAAAGTACAGTAATACCACTGCTGGATTCTATTCTGAACAATGTCTAATAGCGTCTCAAGCCATTGTGTTGCACTACATTTAGGACCCCTATCAATGACTAATAAAAGATCAACAGACGCCAGCCCTGCGGGTAATTCTTTCATACCGCGACACCATGTCAAACGCTAA